CCAACAAGATTGTTTCATTGACAACGTTGTAGGCTGAAATTTATGTCATGACTCGGAGTCATTTATTATTATAGACAATCACAATATTTAATGCTGTCATGTCAGTGGTGAGTTGAGACGTCATTATTGACTAGGAATGTTCTTAATGTTTGAGGTTTTTGCTGCTCCGTCATGATAAAAAGTGTGTTTTTTAATTTTAATTGCTCCGGAGCGGTGAGGCTTAGTTAGCAGATAAAAGCTTGTCAGCGTTGCTTTCTATCCAATGTTGTGCAAACTTTCATAGCTGAAAAGGGAGCTATTCAATATTTTTCACGAAATCACCCTTGAATGCTTCCACTTGTTTCATTGCTAAGAATTTCAACTGAGTTGCCTTTCATTTAAATGTGATTTACTATATATAACCTTTTTTGAAATGCAGTAGTTAGTTATGTACTCTTAGAAATAAGCTCACCATTCCTATTATCAAAAAGCAGCGGTGAACATTTTCAAATATCAATATAATTAAATGCAATACTAAATGAAAGTATAACACTTTCATAAAAATTACATCCAGTCTCTTCTCTATACTTTCTACACTACATTGGTAAATGCCTAAGAAAGTTCGCGCAAATTTCTCTTTGCGAAAACTCATTGAGAAAATATTTAAATGAAGTGACGATATTATAAAAATGAATCAACCTTGAGGATCAAGACAGACTGACAATTGCCTGCTAGCAGTGAGACACATGTAGAGAGCACAAGGATTGTAGACACCAGGCAGTGAGTTGGAACAAGAGTAGAACAATCCACCGTTGAAGGTGGATGGAAAGTTGCAGGCTTCGCTCGTGGTCAAGGAGGTTTTGTTTGCTTTCAAAAAGTATTTATTTTAAAATTTAAATTTCTAAACATTTCATGTTTTACGCAGGAATTGTAAAACTTAACTCAAAAGGCGTGATCGTCATAATATTTAAAACCAAAATTAATTAGGTGACATTAGAAACATAAGTTTGTCATTAATTGTAGACGTTTTTTCGTTTCGAGCAACTGGTTTGTATCAAGTTTAAAAAACTTACAACAATCGCAACCAATTCTTTCATCAACTAATTGAACCACAATCCTCATTAAAACAATGATACAAACAAATTTGGCTTAGGGCTAGGGATATGCATCTGAAACATGTGACGGATAACGATTTTTGTCTCAACGATCTGGTTAAAATGCGAAGAAACTCCAGAGTTGACGCGCTAAATTTTACGACGTACTAATTTTCACGCATCATTTATATAGGCAGTGCATTCAGAATATGTAAACGAACACAAATAGAACTGTGCTACACGAATTAGTGTGGCTGTTGAATGAATGTCGAAATATTGGTATAACGGAACTGTGTAATATGTAAACAAAAACATTGCTGAACTGTCACAAGTCTGATTTATTAAAAATTTTACTAGGAGAAGTTTAGTGTAGAAAATTCAAAATTTTGGTAACATCTACTCCTTCTTATGTAAACTTTAAATAATTTTTGAATATACGTAAACATTAATTAATAATTGAAAAAGGCTATAAAATAATTATTCTCGCCAATAATATTGTTGTAACACTTGACGCTCGTAACTACCAACACCGATGTTATAACTTCAAGGATCTCTATGTTTCCAACACCAGTGTTGTAGCTTCCAACGACCGTCAAGTGTTCGTTATTCCTTAGTTTCAAGATTTTCGATATTCCGATAGATGAACACAACTGCTTCAAACGCAAAAATAGTTGAACGTTTATTTGAATGCCAACAGTAATAGAAGCAATAAACTAATTCCAGTAACTGCATAAATCACATTTACAACTCGCTTCTTTCTGCATTTACACAGGACTTATTTTAGCCCGAACGGTAGAGTTAGATCAAAGATTACAAATATCATTTTTCGATCCTCTATCCAAAGATTACAAATATAGCAAAGATAACAATAATTAAGACAATAACATAGCGCAATTTGATCATTCCGGCGTTTATAGCAATATTTTTATTTTGTTTAGAATGTTTAAGGAAAATGGCTACCATTTCCAACAGTGAAATGATTTCTTATATAAGAAGGAACAAAAATTAAACTTACAGACAGCTGAAGTTAGATTACGATTGGACACTGTATGAAAGATGAATAACTAAGAGAAATCACATTTAATAAAATGAAATATTTGTTAAAATGAATAAATTCATTAATAAACTCCTCATTAATCAATTTATTTATCAATTAATAAATTAACTAACGTAATTTTTTCCGGGCCGGAACATCCTTCGTTGGAAAACTCGACAATTTAACGAATTTTTCAAATAAACAATTTATTAAAGTTTATTTTTATAACTATAAAAAAAATTAATAAGAATAAAAAACAAGACTAAACTGGCCTCATAAGCTAGGCAATGCGCTTTGTTCGTAGCAATCTTGAGATGAACATCACAGGTGGAATGAAACAGTTGGCAATATTTGGCTGGATGACTAGCATCATTGGATATGTAGTTGAATGCGTTGCAAATTATGTTATCATCAGTGGGAGAAACATAATGAGAACATTTGTTAGAACATTCCAGTAAAGATCGTATGTTGGTTAGTACTGTGGTAGGTTCGGAAGCAAAACACTTGGGATTGTCTGGCTCTCCTATCATTCCATACTTCTTATCAACTGCTGAAGCTAACGAGTTGACTAAAAAACACAACAAAACTGTTACTGTAAACACTTTTAAAATCCACATTTTGAACAAAATATCTTTGTTGAAACTTTCTAAAAAATGTATCTTCTGAAACTTTTCACTGTCTGGAACCCAGCTCATTCAGCTGCGGCTGCAATTATTTATCATCATTTCAGTTAACAACGACTGAATATTCTACGTTGTCGTACAAAAATCGATCCGTCTAGAGCATCAGCCCAGCTCACATATACCTGTTACGTTAAACATTGCTAATATAACAACTAACGTTGTTAGAGAAGGATAAAGAAATTCTTATTAATATATATACAGATATAAATAATTATATATATCAAATAAATATAGTTTTTGAATGAATATATGAATTTAAGCCCTTCTCTTTCCAAGCAAACAAACTCGCACATAATAACCAACATTTTAAATGAAACAAAACTGTCATATCGCATTCATTAGGCGGGAAGACGTCTCCTTATCATTGCACACCAAACAATGAGACACTTAGGCACCTCTTTACAACATGTATGCCTGTTAACAAGTCCATTGTCAGAAACTTTCATCTTAAACAATAGTCCCACCGTGCCATACAATAAAACATTTCGATTCAGAAAATAGGAATTGTTTTCAACATTTTAGGAAAATTTACTACTCGTCACAAAATTCCTTCCAAAAAATTCGCTAGGCACACCATGTCGCAATCGCAAGTAGTGAGTTTGTCGTTTAAAATTTTTTGTGAAAAATTCATCCATCTAAACTCAATTGTATTTAAATTATATTTATCAATTTATAGATAACAAAAACTACTAATAATATTATTTTTATTACGGTTTGAATATGAAAAAATCATCACATTAATTAATGAAAACATCTAGGCATAAATATTAATCGACTTCATTCGATTTTATATTCTCAATGAATTGAAAAAAAATTGAAAGTTAAAAGTTGCACAAATTTCACGTTGGAAAAAGCATTGTTATTAAAGAAGTTCCTCCTCTGCATATAATGAATATAGGCAATCTTTTGATTTAAATAAACATAAATACACATCTACATCTCTGGTGAGCCTGAATCATGATATAAAACTTAATAAATCATGATATATATCAAAGAAGTTATTATTGGCTTTGATTATAAGTTACAATATAACTTAATTTTTCAACATCGTCGCATTTACCATTCTATGTCTAACAATATCATCTCAATCCTCCAATCACTCCAGTTTATTTTAACGAGGAAAATATGACACACGTTGCACAAATTTCACGTTGGTTTTGAAAAATTTTCTACTGCATAAAATGATTGTTAGTTGATAGTCCCTACACGTTTAGATGGCAGATGCAAATTCAATTTTAAATTTTAAAACAATTTAAATAATCTAAGAAAGATGAGGGAATCTATTTCAAACTCTGAATTAATCTGGGTGTTGTTTCTGTAATATATAAATAAAAAGTTTGTTGAATTTCATATAAAAAAATTAGACTATAGAAAATTTTCACTTTAAAAATTATATAAAAAAAGTGATTACTGTAAATTTTAAAAGTAGAAAGAATAGGAAGGAATGAAGAAACTGTCTTTTTTGATCTTTCTTTTTTGTAATTTTTCATCCAATTTTGATTTTGTTTCTTTTCCAATTAACAAACCTTGAAATGATCATTTTCAAATCATAATTAAATTATATTTTATCCATATTATTCATTCCGTTTGGATCAGCAGGTTGGAATGTCATTCTACTGAAACCGCTGGTACGTTAGTCTCCGTGGCATGAAATATGGAGTCAATTTAAAGGTTTTTTCACTTTTCTACTCTCTTTCTTTCTCTTTCTCTCTCGTTTTTTTTATTTTTTCGTTCTTTCATTTTCTCTCTTTTCTTTCATTTTCTTTTTTTTCTCAATCTCTTTTTATAGAATTTTAAATTAACGTGTTGCAATATTAAGTTTTTGAGGTTTTAATGTTATTTAACTGTTAAACAATTTTATGAATTTTCTTAATTTGAGTCATTCATGTACCAAAAAACTGTTTGATGGATTTAAAAACTGTATGGTAGAAACTAGAAATTTTTATAAATTTATCGGTATTTAATTTTATAAAAATGGAAGAAACGATTTGTAGTAGTTGCTTCGAATTTTATTGAAAACACCAATTTGAAACAGTTACATGCTTTGATATTGTAGTAAGAAAATTGTTACCTTATAGTCAACAGTTTAAAAATTTTATAGTGTAAAGAAAAATCTAATGTAATTAATTTGTAAAAACGTGCCATAGATTTTAAAAGGTACTTCAAATAATTGTTTATTTGGTTTGTCTTTGCAATTATATACGTCCATCAATACAACTTGATCATCATCCTGCAGGCTTTTATACGAGTCCAAGTTTGATATTTTGCAGTGTAGTACCCACGAACTGTCACGTCAAAAATTATTCCGAAGACATTCTGAGCGTAACAATTTGCGTTGAACCAATTTCCAGAAGAAAATTCAGTAGGACATTGAGTCCCTCGTGGAGTATAGTTTTGATCGTAAGTTGAAAATCTCATGCCATTATGGCAATGGCCGCCGTTAAAAATTTGCTGGTTCAAAATATCCAGATTATCACCGCTATAGTCTGATACGTGCAGCGCATACTGAGATCCCTCTGAGTCAATCTTATCAAAATATTTTTGTTGAAACTTATGTGAAAATTATTAAAAATTAACTTACCTTGAATGTTTCATACTCATCCGATATCCAAGATCCATCTATAACGAGAACTTCAAATCTCAATTTGTAATTGTGTGAGTTGGTCAGTTGGAAGATTTTTTCTAACCCTAACCAGAAATTTGCGTCGTATGTTCCAAAACCTGCCTTCAAATTCATTTGGCATTTCAACTAAGTGTAAATTAGAAAATAACCATAAAGAGTTGACGCCTAAAAAAATTCAATAAAAATCTAAAATGTTCCAAATAAAAAAGGAATAAATAAATTTCATTTATTGAAAGTTAAATTATTTCGCGCTTACTTTATAAGTTGCCCAATTTTGGTTGAAACTTTGCGAACCATCTATTCTTTGTTGAATGACAATCCATCCGTTGACAGACATCACAGTAGTTGGAGATGAAAAAGTTGGAATGGTCAGATTAAGGGTCGCATTTATGACTTCAAAATCTAATTTGAAAAATTTTATTAAATAAGCTAAAATTTTTTAAAAATGTCTATTTAATTTTTGTTTAAATTTACACCTAAAGGATTGAGACAAACAGCCAAACTCCTGTTGCCAGTGACGCAAAAGTAGAGGGAACAAGGATTTGGTACTCCAGGCAGCTGGTTGGAACAGTCGTAGAACAGGCCACCGTTGTATGTGAATGGAAAGTTGCATTGGGTGCTGTTAACTATAAAACACATCAATATATAAAACTTTTGCACTTAATTTTCAGCAAAAAGCTACATACTGGAAACAAAATAATTTTAACCATTTTAATTAAAACAAATTGATATTAGAAAATGTTTCCCATTGTGAGAAATATGTAAAAAGAAGCATTGGTAAAAAGAAGACACTCAATCGTTAGAAGATTCTGCTAAAAGTTGCTTCTGTTTCTATCAATTTTATGGAATCCTACTCGTAAGACGTTTTTTCACTACGGAGTCAACAAATACAACTGTACACAGTTTTTTCTGTGGTAAAATCGACTTGACCAACCCTGCAATGTATAGAGTTAGTTTAATCCTACGGGACTGTGTTCAGTCAGTGCTAAAAACGGCGGCAAGATTGGTTGCTGGCGTCTCATATCTTCATTTCAAGCAAAGGTTATCAGTAAAGATGAAATTTGAAATTGTTCTGCTGGTTAAAAATTGTTTGGTTGGTAGCACGGTATTTTAAATTTTCGGTTCCGGAAGTTTTGGTCCCGGAGTTTTCGGTTTATTATTTAAAATTTATACGTAAACATCAATTTATTTACACTTTGCTATTTCAGTGACTTTCAAAAGCGCTCAAACGTCGAGCCGAGACACGCGCTATTCTCCGCATCGCAAACTCGAACTACATGATAAGCTTTGAAATATGGCATAGCATACATTCGAACCCGGAGTCCACGCTCGTAGCTACTATACCACAACCGCAGCTCAAGTCAAATTGGTCGTGCTTGCATTCACGAAGTGAAGTAGTGATTGTATTGCTTTCAACAATGGATTATTTGAGTAATGCTTGCATTGTATTCAAGGATTTTCAGGTGATGATGGTAGTTCAAGACGTCCTTTAGTTAGGGTTAGAGATAAATTGCTAAAGGTTATGTAAATATTTCTACGTCACGCATTTTCTTAACCACGCCCACTTTTTTAATATGCTAATAGATTTTTAAACTTCATTGTTGGCATGGATTTGCTTCATTTTTGTGTACTAGAAACATTGGGGACCAAAAATTCCTATATCGTATATACTATATCCTATGTAATTTCTATAATCTGTGACCGAAAACTCCGGGACCAAAAGTTCAGAGACGGAAAATTCCTATATAGTGAAATCTGGGACCGAAAATTCCTAGATTCGTAAACACCACTTTATTTGAGTGAACAACTGCTGACGGTATCAAGTGTATGTGGACGCAATCAACTGAGGTCATCGGTCCTTGAGGGCTTGGTCATTTCGTTTTCACAATTTTCAAACTTTGGAAAACAAAGATTTGCCGTGAAGACGGCTAAAAAATACGACTTATTGACTGACTTTATAGTTAGTTGAAAAAAGATTTATTTTTAAAGATTTGTAACTCTATGTAACTTTACGCTAGCCTCTTAATTTATTGTCATGCATTCTCGTCGGAAATGTGCAGTAAACAAAGTTTTAGCTCAAATGGACAATAGAAAGCTATCTTCAAATCTATAAAAGTATTTACTAGACAAATAAACTAATAAGCAAACATGAACGTGGTAAATTGAAGTTAAATGAACAAATTAATAGCACGCTAACAATAACATGCTAATTTGTTTGAGTGTTTTTCTAAAACAATTTTAATAAAGTATAATAATAAAAAAATATAAAGAATAATACTATGAAAAAAGATAGGTTTTTTAGAATTTTTTATTATGAAACAAATTATGAAATGAATTGCATCAAGAACATTTATTAAAACGTTGTTTAATTAAATATGCACTGCAAAACTCATTAATTGCGGTTTGTAGTTTTTTGTATTATAGAAAAATTTCGTGAAAATTAAAAAGTTATAACTTCATAAATGAATTCGTAAAGTATTTCATACCCTGTCGTTGAGTATCAACATTGATAGCAGCTGCGATAATTAAATCTACATCAATATAATCATGATTCATACAATTGAAATAAATAACCTTACCTAATGTTTGTCTGGCCTCAACATCCTAATTTCAATACAATAAGTAATTGTTTTTGATTTTTTGTGACAAAATTTAAGCTACTGGAAAATTATTTAATGTGAAAATAACCAAATACCTCGTAACCATGGGATTTGCACATCGTTGAAACCACCTTGAAATTCGTTTCACATGTGAAATGAAACAGTTGGCAGAATTTGTTTGGACCATTTTTCTCAGCAGACATGTAGTTAAATGCGTTGCAAGTGCTGTTATTAACAGTGGGAGAAACATAATGAGAACATTTGGTAGAACATTCCAGTAAGGATCGTATGTTGGTTAGTACTGTGGTAGGTTCGGAAGCAAAACACATGAGGTTGCCTGGCTCTCCTATCATTTTGAACTTCTTATCAACTGCTGAAGCTAAAATGTTGACAATTGATGATATCATAATGATAGCACTCAGATATGCTATCAACCTCATTTTTAAATCAACTTAATTACTAACAAACTAAAATTTAAATAAATTTTCTAAGTTCTATAAAAGATTTCTCGCACCAATTATAAAATCATTTCCTCTAAATGAAAAGCACCCATCCACTTCTCAATTTATTTAAAATTTCAGTAAACAGAGGGTCGCCATACCAACGCTGCTCATTGGTTCTTCAGTTGCTCCTCTAACCAATTACGAACGAGTTGCTATTTTTACGATGAGGTAAATCTTTTTTCTTTCAATTCAAAATCACGCCACTTAAAATGATTTTTTTCAAAATCAAAATTCCAACCAAAATTGAAAGTTTCACGTGAAATTATTTGAAATAGAAAAAACTTAATCTTAAATAGTGAATGCACACGTCATTAAAAGTTTTTTCACCTCGTGTATGTTTTGTTTTTCTTTGTTTTGTATCTAGGTATGTTGTTCGTTTTATTTGTATGTTTGTTTGAAACTCGTTCGCATGTGGCACTCAGCAAATGCACGGCGATGAGTGGTTGATGCGACAATAACGCGATAAAGTAACGAGATATGCTAATCTGTTTTGCAATCTGACTACTTCTGGAAAAAACTAAGTAATTGGTAGTTTTAGAACTTGAAAAAGTTTGTAGAAATACTAATTTGACTACCTTCAAATCTGGGTAATTAGTTAGTATAAACTTTTTACTTGCATAAAATTGCTTCGTTAGTAGTTATTGTAATCTGATTGCTTAGAAATGTAAATTGTTACCAAAATCTACTCAGATTACTGTTTAAAATTAGTAGTTTTAGTTACAGGATAAAGTATTTCGATTAGTAATTAACATAGTTTACTATTTTTGGAAGTTACAAATTGAAGATTACCCATTTTGTATCTATGGATTCTTCATATGATTGATTGTACACTGAGAAAATCTTATTCCAACCGAACGCATACTATCATCTATTATTTATTTTATTATGTTTCAACTTTGTAAAAAGTGTTCACTTTACATAGAAAATAATACAGTTAAATGATCATTGGGTAAATCTGAACGAAACGAAACGAAATATATTTTCTTGCCGAAATTGAGAGTAAGAATTGAAATAAAGCACCTATGACGTGAAAGTTAACATCCATCGAAGTATTACGATTGAATTTAGTAAGATTTCATGACAATGAGTCACTAAATTGTAGTAACTGAATACTATTATCAAGTATCAGTAATATTTGTGCTGAAAATTTTAAGAATACTTTTCAGATAGAGTATAAAAAGTAACAGCACATCCCTACAAGCAATGTGCATAAAATAATAAAAATAACAAATATCGCCATACTCCAGTCAAAACGTATTGTTTCGAGATTTAATTGTCTAACCAAATTTTTAAATTTTGACGAGATGAATAATTTAGCCGGTTGAATGAGTGTGAAAATATGAAAATTTTCCGTTTCAAAGCACAAAGTTCCCAAAAGTGCCCATCATGGACGACTGATTCTTTGGTACTTCAGAGGTATACAGAGGGTTTACGAGCTGGTGAAGTGGTTAAAATGTCTGACATTGCTGTCGCAGTGACCAGGTTTAAATGCCAAAAGATTCCAGCCTATGAACAACTAGGGACTTTGAGTTTCTTTGAAAAATTTTGGTTTTGTTTGTTGTTGTGTTGTTTGAAAGCGGAGAAACATGGAGAGGGAGAGAGAAAAACATAAAATGAAGAGAAAGAGAGTGAGAAAAAGAGAAAAAAATGAAAGAGACACTCGACGGATGACTTGAGTCTTATCGAATGTTTTTTGGTTTTGTGTGTTGTTGTGCTGTGATGTTTCCAGGTACATTTAATTTTAAACATAGAGAGAAAAAGAGAAAGGGAGAGAGGGAAAGAGAGAGAAACTCTACAAATGGCTCTGAGTTTCATGAAATATGTTTAGTTTCGTGTTTGTTTCCACTTACCAGGAGTGTTTGTTATACAGGTGTAAAAAAATTTTTATTTCAAAATTTTTATATCCGACTGACGTGATGAATAATTGAGTGGCAGGTTCGTTCGGCGCGTTTCAATAAGAAGTTTGCACTTGAACAGTTGGAAGTTAATTGAGTTGGAAGTTAATTGAGTTGGAAGTTAATTGAGTTGGAAGTTAATTGAGCAATTATCGTTGAGGTTACTTGGTGTTGAGGTTACTTTGATGTCGTCGATACCGCTGGTAAATACTCAAGAAATAATTGTAATGGGCAAATAGTGACAACATTACATTAGGATTGAACTATTATAAACGCCATGACTATCGGTAATTTTAAACTATATAATATTTAAAATCTTTTAGAATTAAGTACTTTTACTGAACAAAACAAAAATAGATAAAATGATTTAAAAAGTTCACCTTAATAAGAAAAATTAGCTTAGCACAAATTTACTACGATAGCAAATTTATTCTTTCAAGACACGTACACACACGTACGCACACGTACGCACACACAACACAGACAGACACGCACAAAACAAAAAACAAGATGAGAAATAAAATTACATACAACGGCAATGCTTTGGATAAAATTGAAACTTTTACAATTAAAATGCAGTTGAAGACATGTTCATCTGTTCACTATTATCATTACTATTACTAATAAGAGTAGTGTTACTGCTGCATTACTGATACTGATACAAATACTACACTAGTAAAAATAGTAAGATACTAGTAACATCAAAAACATTTTTACCTTTGAAATAAGCAAATAATCGCCTTTACAATTTGCTGAGTTTCAAAGGTTTTCAAACGTTGTGACGAAATGAATAATTGAAATGGTTCATTTAGTGCAATTAAAAAATATTTTTTTAATTGACAGATTATTGATATCCTAATGGTGCGTGTTCGGCTTAGCGGAGACAAGGTTCGACTGCACAGATATACCGGTAAGTTTTTTTTGTAGTAGTATTAGTATTTGATTAAAACGAATCATAGTATATTTTTGAGTAGTATTCACTTATTAATTCATAATGTAACGACAACTTAGTTGTTTTTCTTTCATTTTTTTCAACAGAAAAAAAACTGTTTATTGCAGCTAAAAATTTTATTCAATGAAAATTCGTATTCAACAACGTTACAGCAATGAAAATTGCTTCAAAATGTTGGTGTAATGGTTAAGGCGCCTGGTCCTGCTGTTGCGGTGACCACCTTCAAATGCAAGAAGATTCTCCGCCTATCATCACATGCATCATCTGCGTGTGTGTCTGTGCGTGTGTGTACGTGTTTGTGTGCGTGTGTGTGTCAGTGCGCGCGTGTGTGTGTTGTTGAGACATCTTGAAAATATTTATGAGCGAGTTAAAAATATTATTAAACTACTGATAATAAAGCAAAAACACGTCACAATGATGACGATCGTAAAATATTTGAAACAATATTTATATTAAGCAATGTTCTTATAATGAGAAATGTTTCAAAAATGTTTATAATTAAATGCTAAAGATATAATATAATGATATTAAAATGTTTCGATCTAATGAATATACATGAAAATCACACAAAACACGTTAAAATATTACTGAAACTCGTAAACTATACATAAATGTTTCTTTAACATAAAAGTTAAAACTGCAATGCATCTCTTACTCATGTGAGAACATCCATCAGGTCTCATTCAGTTATTCTCAACTGTAAGATCAAACACATCACGTGATGATGTGTTAGATCTGCCAGGCTGTCTGAGAACGTTCCTTTGCATCCCCATCCAACAATCAGTAGCCAGTCAAGAAATTATCACGAAAAATGTCTCAAAGTGAAAAAATAATAAAAATTGTATAAATCACATTTGGAAAATTGCGGAACATTTTGGAAAAATTTCTATCTACGACATTAATTACAGAATCACATTAAGTACTGAATCACATTAATTACAGAATCACATTAATTACAGAATCACATTAATTACAGAATCACATTAAATACTGAGTCACATTAATTACAGAATCACATTAATTACAGAATCACATTAATTACCGAATCACATTAATTACTGAATCACATTAATTACAGAATCACATTAATTACAGAATCACATTAATTACAGAATCACATTAATTACTGAATCACATTAATTACTGAATCACATTAATTACCGAATCATATTAATTACTGAATCACATTAATTACCGAATCACATTAATTACTGAATCACATTAATTACAGAATCACATTAATTACAGAATCACATTAATTACAGAATCACATTAATTACTGAATCACATTAATTACTGAATCACATTAATTACCGAATCACATTAATTACTGAATCACATTAATTACTGAATCACATTAATTATTGAATCAAATTAATTACTCAATCACATTAATTACTCAATCACATTTATTACTCAATAACATTAATTACTCAATCACATTAATTACTCAATCACATTAATTAATGAAAGCATCTAAACATAAATATTAATCGTCTTCGTTCCATTTTTTATTCTCATTAAGTTTAAATGAAATAAAAAGTTAAAAGTTGCACAACTTTTTCGCTGAGAGAAGCAGTGTTGAAATCGGAGTCGGTCGAAATCGGAAAATTTTGCCTGACTTTTCATCCGACCCCAGAAAGGGTTAAAAGTTTCAAAAAATGTAAAACTGATTCGCATGTTAGTGATGCAAAGAAACTCGACAACTATGAATCTTGCCAATTATACAACTTGCTAATTATAAAACCTCCTGCCTTGCAACTCAGCAAACTACAACGTTATTTTCTGGTCAGCCACGATAATGCAAAAATTTGATATTACCTTTCATTATATTTTAAACAATTAATATAGAAAAATTTCACTGAAAAAACAATTACACCGACTGATTTTCATTCAGCAGTTAGTGGCAGATGATATCTAAAGTAAAACTGTGAAGCAAAAGTTGAAAAAATGTTCAGAGAGTTGGAACCAGTGTCAGGAGTGTGAGGATGATGAATGAAGGAGTCGCAGTTGACTCGCACATCCTCAAACACCACACAGGTTGCACAAATTTCACGGTGGAAAAGCATGGTTGCTATAAAAAGTTTGCTACTGCACGAATCGATGGTTAACTGTTAAA